GATTCCCCCGGAAGAGCTGGCCCAAGTGGCTGGGGAGAGGGAAGTCTGGGCCTTCCTACTTAGGCTGCTACCCCCGCAACCTGACCCCGGATAAGCGGAAGAAAATGGATGGATGGATGGATGGATGGACACATCAAAACACAAATAAAGTCCAGCTGTTTTTGTATTGAACGTTTTGGAATTTACAAATCAAAACAAAATATCAACCAAAAGGACAATCAAGAGGAATATTAGCAAAAAATCAGCTCGATTATAAGGTGATTTAAGAAACTAAAAACAGGAACATGCCTGCATTGGTTGTTGCCAGGAGTCCAACACAGTTTTAAAGTCACTTAGAGGTCACGGTCGAGAGCTCCAGATCTTTTTGCGAGATATTCCAGGAAACAGGAGTGGATGCTCGTCAAAGATTAACATTTTTAATTGCGATTATTCTCAAATATTTTTCTGATTTATCTCAATTAATCTCATTAGTATGCGCAAATTGAATTATGACTTAAAGATGTTTAGAAAATTTGAAGGTACTGTTTTATATAAACAATGTTCAATACATTAAAAAGGCACTTTCTAACGGCAGCGTTCTAACAATTAAAGTATTTCTAATAACATAAACATGAACATACCAAATATGAAAACAAAGCTATTTGCCAGGTCAAAATGTTTCTAGGTGTTTTTAGAGAGAGAAAAAACTCCTTCAAACCCAAAACCACAATCATAACAGGTTAACATCCTTCCATCCATTTTCTTCGCTTATTCGCTTTATTTATGTCACGGGGGTAGCAGCCTAAGTAGGGAGGCCCAGACTTCCCTCTCCCCAGCCACTTGGGCCAGCTCCTCCGGGGGAATCCTGAGGCATTCCCAGGCCAGCCCAGAAACATAGTCCCTCCAGCGTGTCCTGGGTCTCCTCTGAGTCTCCTCCCGGATGATCGAGCTTCTCACCCTATCTTTAAGGGAGAGCCCAGACACCCTGCGGAGAAAACTCATTTCGGCCGCTTGTATCCGAGATCTCGTTCTTTCGGTCACAACCCAAAGCTCATGACCATAGATGAAGGTAGGAACGTAGATCGACCGGTAAATTCATTCAACCTTTATTTAGACAGGTAATTGAGAGCTTCACCTTTTGACTCAGCTCTCTCTTCACCACGACAGATTGGTGCAGCGCCCGCTTTACTGCAGATGCTGCGCCTATCCACCTATCGAGCTCTCACTCCATTTTCCCCTCATTCATGAACAAGACCCCGAGATACTTGAACTCCTCCACCAGGGGAAGGACCTCCTCCCCGAGCCGGAGAGGGCACTCTACCCTTTTCCGGCTCAAGACCATGGCCTCAGATTTGGAGGAACTGATCCTCATCCCGGCCGTGTCACACTCGGCTGCAAACCGCTCCAGTGAAAGTTGTA